TTCTACAACGACCTACGCCACCTTATCCAAAAGGTTCCTGCAGATGATAAGATCATTATCCTTGGTGATTTCAACGCCAGAGTAGGAAAGAACTCTGAAGCCTGGAAAGGAGTACTAGGCAAGCATGGTGTTGGGAACTGCAATGATAATGGTCGCCTTCTGCTAGAGTTTTGTGCTGAGCAGCAGCTTACCATCACCAACACTATCTTTCAGCAGAAAGATAGTCTGAAGACAACCTGGATGCATCCCAGGTCCAAGCACTGGCACCTCATTGATTATATCCTGGTCAGACAGAGAGATATCCGCGATGTTCGTCACACCCGCGTGATGCCTAGTGCAGAATGTCAAACGGATCATCGTCTTGTGCGCTGTAAACTTAACCTCCACCTTAAATTCAAACCTAAAAAGGGCAGCATTCCTAGAAGGAGACTTCAAGTTAACAGTCTTCAATCAGCTACAGTGAGGGACAGATTCCAGGCAAATCTTCAATCCAGGCTCAAAGTTCATTCCACAGACTCCTCTCCCGAAGCACTTTGGCAACTTATTAAAAGTAGCATTCTGCAGTCCTCTGAAGAATCCTTAGGGTTCTCCTTCAAGAAAAACAAGGACTGGTTTGATGAAAACAATCTTGAGATCCAGGAATTGTTGAGGAAGAAGAGAACTGCTCACCAAGCCCACCTTGCTCAGCCATCTTGTCATATAAGAAAAGCAGCCTTTCGACTCGCATGCAGCAAGCTGCAACAGAAACTTCGTGACATCCAGAACAAGTGGTGGACCAATCTAGCGGAAAAAATCCAATTATGCGCAGATACAGGTGACTACAGGGGATTCTATGAGGCTCTGAAAACAGCCTACGGTCCTACACGCCAGGTTCAAAGCCCATTACTCAGTGCAGATGGCCAAATGCTTCTCACAGATAAAGTTTCCATCTTGAATCGATGGTCTGAACACTTTCAGACCCTCTTCAGTACTAACCGTGTAGTTCAAGACTCAGCATTGCAGTTCATCTCACAACAACCCGTGAAAACTGAACTGGATACCGCCCCCACCATGGGAGAAACTCTTAAAGCAATACAGCAGGTGAAAATTGGCAAGGCAGCTGGGGTTGACGGAATCCCACCTGAAATCTGGAAGTACGGTGGCCAAGCACTCTGTGCTAAGTTTCATGAATTTGTGGTGCGCTGCTGGGAACGAGGTGAACTACCTTCAGACCTTCGTGACGCTGTCATCGTCACCTTGTACAAGAGGAAAGGAGATAAATCAGACTGCTCAAATTACCGAGGTATTACTCTGCTCTCCATTGCTGGTAAAATCCTTGCAAGAATTCTGTTGAACAGATTAATACCCACCATAGCAGAAGATCTTCTACCTGAAAGCCAGTGTGGTTTCCGAGCCAACAGAGGTACCACAGACATGGTATTTGTTCTCAGACAACTGCAAGAGAAGTGCAGGGAACAGAACAAAGGACTCTATGTTACCTTTGTTGATCTCACCAAGGCTTTCGACACTGTGAGCAGAAAAGGTCTGTGGCAGATTTTGGAACGTTTAGGATGTCCTCCCAAGTTCCTCAAAATGATCATCTTGCTTCATGAGGACCAGCGCGGCCAAGTGAGACATGGTGACGCACTTTCTGAGCCGTTTCCAATAGCCAATGGTGTGAAGCAAGGCTGCGTCCTTGCACCAACTTTATTCACAGTCTTCTTCAGCATGATGCTCCAAAGGGCCACGGCAGACCTCGATGATGAAAACGGTGTCTACATTCGATATCGTACGGACGGGAGCCTGTTCAACCTAAGGCGACTGAAGGCCCACACTAAGACCTTAAATTGTCTTATCCGTGAGCTGCTTTACGCTGATGATGCCGCCCTTGTTGCTCACACAGACATTTGTTTTGTTGATGTCTTACATGACTCCTAATGGCTACAACTTGTTGCCAATTTCTTTTTTTCCAGGTTTCATCAGGAAAGGAGTGGTTCAGGCAGCGAGGAGAGCTGGTGTATTAAGTAAACACCCCCACACACACATCCCTCCTCCCCCAAGCCCCTAGTTTACTGAACAAAAAGCGTTTCCCGAGCCGTTTCCAGGCGCTGCCCGAGCTGCCGCCGCGGTGCCGGGCCCGGGCAGTGCCGCGCCGGGCGGCTCCGCCCTGTCCAGCAGGCGGCGCCGCAGCTCCGCCGCAGGGCGCGCTCAGCGGCCCGGCCGGGCCTGCCAGCGCGGGGCGGCCTCGCACAGCGGCGGGGCTTCGCTCCGCTGCCCAGATCCAGGGAATAAAGGGCTCTCCATCCAGCCCCTGGGAACCGACAGGCAGCAGGAAGAGGGACTTGCACTGTGCATGCCGGGTGCACGGCTTGGGAGAGGGAGAGGGAGCCTGCGGGACGCTTGCCCCCGCACCCACCGACACTGCGGCTCCTTCGCAAAGTCCCCTGTGCCCCAGCACACAACCTCGCTGCAGCTTGTGCCCCCAGCTTGCCCACCGAGGGCAGATTTCTGCCGGTCTTGGCCACGCCAGGCTCACTGTACCAAGGATCTGGCTATTAAACAACAAAGAGATGTGAATATTGTCCCTATCTGAGCTGCACTTAGATTTATGCCTATTATTTTCATTCATTTCCCATCCCAACTGAGATGTTCAAAAGATACTTCTCTTGATGAATGAAGTGAGAACCAGGTTTGTGAATGGCTAGAGGTGCAAGACAGGAGGTGCAGCAGATACTGACATGGAGCTACTGAGGCAATGAGAGGAGTGAGCTCAGATTCCAGCCTCAGATTGGAGACTTGGTGATTTCACTGTCAAACCGGAGAGACCATGTCCTCCCTCAAGAAGGGGCTACAACACTGCCCTTATCTTGTCAGTTGTTCCTCAGTCTCTGGAGTCATCCATATTTTGCCTCTTGATCAGGTTTTAAAATAAATACTTTCGAAACATACCCTCTCTGTCTTGCCCTAGCAGTCTTTTCACTGAGGGACATCTGTGAACAGCAGTGACCAAGCATTCTAGAGTGCCCTGCTGGGGGGCAGAGCAGGCATACTGAGGTTCAGGAGCTCTCTATGCCTTTAGGGAGCTGTAGAGGATAAAGTACTGCTATGAGATGTCTTCTGCAAGTGACAGCAGTTAATTACAAGCTGGATGAGGCTGGAATGGTGTATGCCACTGACAACACTAGGACATCATATTATCAGCCTTCACCAGACCTTACATGCTGTTTTATAAAGGACGAAGAACGTGTGATCAGTGCTGCTGTTCCCTCTGTGCAGATAGTCCCTGTGCCAGCCCTGCTCTGCTTATAGAGCACCTGTGGAGAGGACACACAAGGACATTTCAATTCTCCCCTGCCCTGTGGAAGAGGTGTCTATTGGAAATCTGTCTCCTACAGAAGGGGAGGAGGCAATGCAGGATCTTCTGACTCCTTGTGAACTTGGGTTGGGCTTGCACTTCAGAAATTGCAGGAGTGATTCAGGGAGTGCATTTGCACTTTATAATTGAGCAGGAATTCCAGCGCAGTCATTGTGTGTCTGCTCATTTCCTGGACAGAAATACTTGCTTTTCTCTTTTAAGTGCTGTAAATCCCATCAGAAGCCCTGCTTATGCATTGGCTTCGGCATGATTCCTTATGGCAGAGAATTTGCCTTGGAGTTGAAGCTGTGGGGCCGGGTACCCCTCTTTGATGTTCCTTGATTTTCAGATACCAGCTATAGTGAATAGCTTTGAAATTTTTAACAAGACAAAACTCCCCTTTGCCTTGAAGAGGACATCCAGCCTTGGGCATGAACTCACAATTGCTTGCAGTAAAAAGAGCTTGTTCTTGTTACTGTCAGGTTGGTCTGGTTGGTTGGTTTTTAGATTGAGCCAAATGGTTATTAAAATGGATGGTGCTCCTGTTCTGGCAAGCTGTCACTTCACAGCGTTCCCAGTTCTCTCACGAGTGTGCTTTCCCAGCCCGCCTTCCCGGGTCCAGGGGCAGAAGATAAGCCAGCAGAAAACATTCTCTCTAGCCAAATGTTTGTCTGAAGTGTCCCAGCTACTCTGCAATGATTAGCATCTTTTCTCCTATGCCTTTTCTACATTCACATGTTTCCATTGCATCTGAAATTGAATGATAAAATATTTTCAAGTAACGGAAGCCACATACGGCATCAGATTATTGCACTGTGGGTGCTACTCTTTACTGTCTGCATGCATGTGATAAATGGGGTGTCACAGTTCAAATAACAAGGCAGCACACCAGGTGTGCCTTTTTTTTTTTTTTCCTAGGATAAAAGACATGCATGTCACTCTTGCAAAAATATTCTCTGGCCCCTTGATTTCACAGGTCAAGATGTGGATTATGCCCTTAGCCATCAAAGAGATTATCTTCTTAATGTTTATGAACTTATTTTAGTCCGTAAGCATGGCCTAGTCAAGAAAATTGGAACGTGGCCATGACAAGATTCATCTATGGGCCCCTTCCAACTCAGCATATTCTGTGATTCTGTGATCTCTTCCCATGGCATCCATCTGAATGCTGGTCAGTTTACAAGTAATATAAAAAAAAAAAGTTTTCTCCAAGTGCCATTGCTACAACTTCACATTGGAAATTATATGCATATTAAGTTTGTTCTGCATTTTGCATCCTCTCTGGATGACCGGTCCTGCAGGCAGGAATGGCCAGCACACTGGCACATTGGAGTGGGGCTGTGGGAGGCAGAACCTGCTCCCCTCCTCCAGCTGCATGGCTCTGGAGGTTTCCTGTTTGCATACCTAATCTGACATTTCTGCAGGAGCACTTTGAATAAGAACAGTCACTGTTCTGATGGTAGTCACAGTGTAAGGGGCTGGTGTAAAGTACGTCACACTTTCCCCCTAAAATCATGCTAAATGGAGAGTCTTCTGTGAATTCTGATAGGTGTGAGATTAGGTTCTTTGTCTGTATTTTGGGACTCTGCCCAGACTTATTCACACAATCTTACCTAGCTTTCTATCTTTTTCTCTTTTCTGCCCTTTTAATTTTTGCCTAGTACAGGTTTTGGTTGGCTGTCCAAGATCTCAAGAAACAGCCTCTACAGGAGGTAACCACCAGAGTGGAAGAAATCTGGCAAGAGTTTCTAGCTCCTGGGGCCCAAAGTGCTATCAACCTGGATTCCCACAGCTATGAGAAAACAAGCCAAAATGTCAAAGACCCAGGAAGATATACATATGAAGATGCACAGGTTTGATTTTGGTTTTATGGAACTACTCTCATTTTTACTGTGATATTCCACTATCATACTGTCACTGCTCACTTGTAAGTAAAGGAGATGCACAGTTTGAAGTGACTTTGAGGATATCTATTCAAGCTGGGTAAATGATATTTTCGTTGAATCTGTGTGTTACAACAGGCTAATGCTCCTCTGGGAACAAATGTTCCAAAATGTACAAGTCTGTGAGGCGCTACAAGCTGGAGCTATGTCTCAGAAAAATCAAAGATGAAAGAGTTCAGTTTGTCTCTCTGTACTCCCTGTCACCAAATTCTGACGTATTTACAGAATGGCTGATATCATATAAAAATCCTGGCTAATACTCTTTTTCTATCATTTATTTACTTGTAGATAATTATATTCCCCCATCAAATCCCAAATGCAGCAGCTCCCTGCAACACAGCAAGAAATTTGTCCACCAGACAATGCCTTAGAGTAATGATAGGACAGTAGGCAACACAGTGAGCTTAATCCTTCCCTCCTAAGGGCCCCAGATTTCTCATGGAAAATTTACAGATAAATTGTACAGGGAAAATGCCTTTAGGAAAATAGATAATTTGAGAAAAACTGTTACAAGCAAGGATAAAGCTGCATAACCTTCTGAGAAAGTGAAAATATAATTTTGTAATTGTTAAAAAGGAAAAAGGAAGAAGGGATCATGTGGCAAATATTACTGAGGACACACATAAAAAATATCCTCATCATATTAATTTTTTTCAAAAGCATGTAGTAAAACTAACAGCAAATGAAAAGAATTCCTGTTCTGTTTTTGGGGATTTTTTAATTGGCATTCAAAGGCAGTTCTTCAAAATACTCCACTAACAAAATATTTCCATCTCGGGGGAGACGTTGTGGACCACTTATACAAGGTTAGGCAATGAATTTTTCAAACCAGCATCATTTACTGTATTTTCCCGAATGCAGTCTTGCTCCTTCGGGCCAGAATAGAAGGAGTGTATGCAAAGTTTTGAGGAGATACCCTGTGAATATCAGGCAACTTAAATGTCCTTTTTAAGCTGAGAAATACAGGACTATGAAAACATTCTGACTAAGATGTATTCTTTGCTTGGCAGTATAATGAGCAAGAACTTCTTATATCACCTGAAAAAAATAATGATGGCAAAATGCAGGGTTGAGCAGATAGGTGAATAGTTGGGGAATTGATTTAATTGGTATATCGAAGTACTAAGAGTAAGAAGGATATTTAGACAATGAGTATTTAGTTAGAGGAAGACACAGAGGACTTAGGCTTGAACTAATCAGTTCACAATGTAATTGCCATTCAAAGGGAAGTTGATAAAATCAAGCTGGAGCCCTTGCAGTTAAACTGCAGTTTTAGATCTTTGGGTAAATTTTATTTCAGGGGATTTTTATGCTGACATATGTCCTCAGTTCCTCAGATGTTGTAGTTCATGAACACAGAAGTATCAGGCAAAGGTAGACCTTCAGACCCAGCTATGGTCTTCTTGGAGACTGAATCTATGCCAACAGAGGATAGCACAATGGAAGGTGAGCCCAGTTACCTTCATGTGCAGTGGACTTCTGGTAACTCTCCAAAGGCTAAGCAAACTGTTTGTGACTGCTTGATCAGACAGCTGAGAAATCTGTCTAACGAAAGCAGGAAGAAGCAGGGCACTGCTGAAGGATGTAGTGCCCTGACAGAGGTGGAGCAATATTGACTTTTACTGGCTCATCCTGGAGAGGGGACATTTTTGTTTGCACATCCACTTCACGGAACCCAGTGTAGGTCACCCCAGCACACTCTGAATCTCCCAGGTACTGTCCTGGTGTCTCCCCCAGGTCACCCCTGCCACCTTGGAGGCTCTTGTCTACAAAGCTGCAGCGGCTGCCTTATCTTGGCACCCTGGCACCAGGAGCCCATGGGAGCTCCCACACATCCTACATTTCTAGGGACTCAATCAGAAACAACCAGTCAAAACACTCACAGTTGGAGGGAAAATATGAGTGTTGTCCTGTCCTGTATAGCTTTAGCACAAAGAGGAAAACAGCTGAAATGCCCTTGTAAATAAAGAACAAGAAAAAATTTAGTTTACTCAACAGCACATTCTTTGAATGCCTGCAACTCTGAGACACTAAGAGGAAAGAAAAATATTGGCTGAACTAAAAAAATTAAATTGTTAGTCCTGCAGTGAAAAAACAGGTGAAGGTGATGTAGCGCTCTAGTCCTGACTTGAGAGACCCACAAAATGCCAATTCTGTATAAAAAACTCTGAAAATGAACACATTGCTGTACTTGGGAAGGGGAGGGTGTAGCAGAGCACATTGAGGTGAGCAAATACATTATCACAGTAAGTTGAAAGCAAAGAGTTGTCTGTTATCAGGTGCTTTATCATTGTGCCTTTCCATGAAGGATTTACATTTTGTTTCTGTGTCTACATGGATGTGCTTCTTCGCACAACCTGGGCTACAAGCCCCAAAGAGCTCTCCCAGATGCTGCTTGACCATCTGGTAAGAAAAGTAGCCTAGAAGAGAACAGGGAGAAAAGGGGTCTCCAGGCAAACATTCCTCTCACTTCAAACCTCTTTGTCCCCAGGCCACTAATTGTCTGAAAGCAAATGGTTCCTCTGTTTAAGAAGACCTCGTCTCCAAATCTCAGTCCTCAAAGGGCTCCAAATCCAAACCTGAATTTGATATGCATTTATTATTTCAGACAGACCTCTAAGTACCACAGAAGCAAGCGTTTGTTTTGCCGTTTTCCCATCTCAGCTTAAGATACTTGCCCTGCTGTGTGTCCCTCGCTGCTGCTGCACTCTGCAGTCCTGCACCAGGTCTGTGCTTGCACAGAACTGTCTCTCTTGCTGTGTCTCCCACATGTGACATTGCCCATCCCGTGCCCTGCTCAAGCCATGCCAGCACGCCTGGGCTCTGTGCTGTTCTGGCTCAGCCTGCGCTCACCTCCCCCAGCTCTCCAGTTTGTTGGCGTCCCCCATCCTCCAGCAGCACAGCACTGCTCCTAGCTCTGTCCTGACCATCAGCTCTGCCAGCTCTCTTGATCTGCAGCACCTTTTGTCATTTTAGTGCTGGGCCCCTCCAGAGGGGAGCCTACCAATTTAGCTGATTATTTTCTGCTCTTAAACAACTGTCCTCTGAGTAAAATATTACAATTATCAAACCGTTTTCACTGGGGAGTAAAGCAGCTTTTAATACAAGGGGCACCGTCAGGAAAGGTCAGTTCAATTAAACAGTGAAGTACTTAGCAAGATGTAAGCTCCCACAGGAGTTATCAGCATCATTGAACAACCAATGTGGGGCCCTGCAATATGAAGCAGGCACCACTAGCTCTGGAAAGTAAATAGGTTTGGGTCCATCTGAATGGCCTCTTTTGGCTAATGAAGCTGCTGACAGCCAGAGTAATTCATCTTTAACATGGGAATGTAGAGCTGTGAGTGTGACAATTATGGCTTATCTGTACAACACGTTATTAGTTTTTTAACCATTCTCTCTGTACCCTCGTCAAGCATCTCCATACCTCCCCTGAAATGTCTTTCTCCCTTCAGAAAGTCGTTAATTCTTTCCTCAGACCCTTGGCATTGGGAGCTAGTATCACAAGAATGCATTGTGTCTCCTCATAGTAACCTTTTTTGGGACATTTTGTCTGTGTTTATTGGTAGGCTTCAGAGCCAGGTATACTAGAGTAAGGTAAGGTGTCTTTGGAATTGCTTTCCTGTTTTCTTTGTTTATTTTTATTCTTTAATTAATAAAACAGTTTTAGATTGACATTCCTTTACCTGAACTAATCAGCTAATGTTTCTGTGAAGATGATGCAGGGAAATTCAGTTCTAATCAAGGCTCAGTTAGGGATTTTAACTGTACTTTGCAGATCCTTGGCTAATTCCAGAGCAAATTTAGACCATAATGCCAAACTCAAAGCAGCTTAAACCACAAATGTACCTGGCCCGGATATTAATCGTAGAATAATTTGAGTTGGAATGCACCTTTAAAGTTCATCTAGTCGAACTCATTGCAATGTGCAGAGACATCTTCAATCAGATCAAGTTGCTTGGAGTTGCTCAGTCCAACCTGACCTTGAATGTTTACAGGGATGGGGCATCCACCACCTCTCTGGACAACTTGTTCCGGTGTTTCTCTACCTTCATTGTAAAAAATTTCTTCCTTAAAGGGAGTCTGAGATTTGAGATCAGGGCCCAGTTCATGCTCTCAGCTGTCCCAAGTGTTGGTTCAGTTTGTTCTGGACTGTGATAGAGGTACAAGTCCTTGCAGGATTCATCAGTGAGAAGTCATCATGCTTTCTGGTTTTGTCAGAAAGCTGGGAGTGTTGACAGAACTTGATAGGATCCTGTTGAATTCAAAACCAAACTCCATGTTTAAGCAAAGATCTCTTGGAATGTCATTTTCTACCAAGAAGGGAAAATGAGGGGTGGCTTTCCTTCTCCTGACTTTGTGTTTTCAAGCATGCACAGGATGTGAAGGCAAATATATAGAGTAGTGTGTGCCTGGTGCCTATTCAGTGGGCATACAGAACTCTTTTTGTAGGTCTTGAGCAAAATCACAGCATGGAAAGAAAATGTGAAAATATTCATTGTGTGTCTGCATCATCTTTCATGTAAGAACTTGAAGAAATCTTATTCCTATTTTCTTAAAGTTTCACCCAGTCCCCCCAGTTACATGCATGCTTGTAAAGGATGGTGACTAAGGATGGAGAATCAGGGTAACAGCAAAGCAGCTCTGGTTGGCAGTGCAGGCATCCAGCAAGGGGCTGTGGGGCAGACCCAGGTGCTCTTCCTCAAAGGGGGGCTCAAGTCCACCTGAGCCAGTGCTGCTCAGTGCTGCTGGCACCTGAGCTATGGGGAATTGAAAACACTGCTGCACTGCATCAGTATTTATATGTGGATGGTGTGCCCGGGGTTCCTGGAAGCTTTTGACATTCTGGACCTTCCTGTGGAGGTTAGGGAGTGCACAAAGACTTGACCTTTATTCTCTTCTCCTTTGTT